TATTGTTATTATTATTTTTTTTAGTAGCAATAGTAGTAGTAGTAATCACTGACAACACATAGAAATGTAGTTTTGTCGTCATTTCCTCAGTTCTCAGCACTAGACAGTCAGCTGTTCTCCGATATGTCCAGGAGATCCAGGGCCACCAAAGAAACGCGGGACCTGGATCGTTTTATGGTACGACTGATTCTCCACCACCTCGTCCACTATCGCCTGTTTGATCACTCACTCTGCAGGAGAATTTATATTATTGCTTTTGTTTTGTTTTGTTTTCATTGGGTATTTTTTAAGAACTTTTGTGATTACCGCAGAGTTGGCAGAGACTGTGCTATTTTCTAGTTTATTGCATTGCCTTGCTTCCATTTTGTCTAACACGGTAGATAGTTTTTCTTTAGTTACGGTACAGGAAGAAGGGCCACTAACAGCTGTCTAAAGAATGAAACGCTTATAATGAGCCATTGCCAAAATGTCAACCATATAATGAGGGTTACGGGGTTTTTTTACAATCCCTCAAAAGTGTTTTAATGACTGTATTTACGAACAAAATCTGAAGAGGTATCATATTGTAGTGTTAATAAGTATCTTTCTATGTTTTTTAACCTGCTAAATTTTCATGAATAATTATTGATTATTTTATAAACATTCCTATAACTTCACTCTTAGCCACAGACCAAAAGTATCCAATTCATTTAAAGAAGACATAGACTTTTGTGCTTATTTCCTTATCTCCCTTTAAATTTGGAAGGCATAGCTTCCCTCACAGGTGTTTCATTTTCCAGCTTGTCCTGATACACTGTCCTCAGGAGTATTTTGCTTTTTAAAAGCGTTACGGTTGTATCGAGTGTTGCGCAAAATTTTTTGGCTTGGAATTTCATAAAAATTGTCTTTATAATAACCGATCATGGTTGTTGTACATTTTGAACCGACCGCAACGCACTCATTGATTTTGTTGTCTTCTCGTTCCGTGTTTTAAGTGCTTCCAAGATTTTATTTGAAGCTTCACCGAAAGTGCGCATTCAACCATCAATTGTTGAACGTACTTTGTGGCGATCGATGCATCCGCCACTTGAAGGTAAGTTCGATACAGCCGTAACATTTTACATTAAATATTTTACAAATTAAAGAAAATAAAACTTGCATCTGTAGTGTAGCAAACAGTCACTTCGCTGTTGCACGCAGGAGACATGAGTTCAATTCCTGAGTTGGGGATAATATTTTTATCAAGTATATCGTCTTTCTCCTGTGACCCTATATCCCTGTCAGCCCAAGCTAGCCCTGATCAGCAGGGTCAGAAGCCCATCTCCTAACTGATCTAAATTGCGTCACTGAGGGTGTAAAAAAGTTAAAATACCTACTTTTTTTAAAAATTGCTGATTTTTTTAATATTAAAAGAAAAAAAAAAGAAAATGCATGTCATCACAGTTGTCTTAAGTCAGTTGAATTGATCTGTACAAACTCTGAGGTGGCTGCAAACGCAGAAACGGCACCGTGCTTGCTTTAGTGCGGGAAATCGTAGAAAGGAAGTGGCTCTGTGACGACATGATGACGATGTTACCCTCAGTGCACCCAGAACAGAATAATACTGTTTAGCTTTCTTTACCCATTTTTTTTTTTTGTGGTTAGTTCAACCCTTCAATTCTATTGGTTATTATTAGTATTAAGTATAAAGAGCGAAATGCTCGCAGCTAAAGGGATTCGAAAACAACTAGTATTAAGTATTAAGCTCAAAATATTTTTGTTGACAGTTTACATTTTAATTTTGGTTTTTTGGTTTTAAATTTGAAAGACTTACTGTGGGTGAATTATTTTCAGGGGTGTATGACAATGTTCATGTGTCATTGCGATACAATCATCAGAGCCAGAAGAAAATATATATCATCTCTTTGAAAAAATTCAATTCACATCCAAACATTCCATATCTTGTATAGTGGTTAGATTGACAGGCTGAGAATTAATACAGAGAGATAAGCGTTAAAAAAAAATATGTTACAATTGCACTGAATTCCACTTTAAAAAGGTTTGTTTTTTTTTTTCAAATCAGGTTGCAAGTCCTCAACACACAGATGGCACCATAGAGACTGAATCTAGTGGAGCAAGCAGTGAGAAAGTCCAGCAGGAACCTTGTGGTGAGTGAAATTTATTTAGATTTAATTCACTAGATCTGAAGTAATTGTGGACTGTTTTGCTCCATAGAAAGTCGTCCAAATACTTGTACAACCTGTCCATTCTCCTCACCCTATCAAATTCTTATTTGCTTCGTCACATATGATGTAAACTTTCTAATTTTTTCTAATAATTGAATTTTCTCATTAAATTAGATGTAAACAATGCAAACTTTCACTCGGGTGGGAAGACATGGAATAATATCAAGAAGCTAGCCCAGGATAGAGAAAGGCGGAAAGTGTTTGTCCGTGGCCTATACCTACCCTGGTGCAGGGTGAGAAAGGCAGTGATGACGGTCTAAGGAACGTAACAATTTGATAGTGGGTAAGTCGAGTTGCAGAGTAATTAGTGGCACAGTCTATTATCAACATGACAAATAAAATTCTTTGCCAGTTGGTTTAAGTTCTCATCAGTTGCTTATCTTGTGGTTTCAGTCGCGGTGAAGCATGAAGTTGTGGAGGTCCCCCAGAAGCGTAGAAAAAAGAAACGTATGACCGGTACAGAGAGAGCCCGACGTTACCGACAACGCAGGAAGGAAGACGCCGAACATTATGAGGTCTACCGAAAGTTGGAGCGTCAGCGGTCAAAGAACAGAAGGCTTGCTATGAGTCAAGAACAGAGATTGCTGTCGAATGTAAAGGCTGCTGTACGCAATAGGAAAAGCAGGTAGGTAGTTTTTTACATCTGTTTTTTGGGGGGGGGTTTTCAACACAAAAAAGATGACTGCAATAATGTGAAGGACATGACATGAGAAGGGGCCCTTGCGGGCTGGAGACGATCCCCAAATTTCAATTTATTCTGATTACATAATGTACTTTTTTTTCAGGATTTTTTTTTGTTGTAAAGGCCTGCACTGGAACTTATGCTGATTGTTTGATGCAATTTTTTTTCTTTTTTTTTTTTTTTCAAAGTCTTTCTCTTTCTCTCTCTCTCTCTTTCTATCTCTCTCTCCGTCTCTCTTTCTCTTCAAAAAAAAAAATTGTAAGAGCTGTGCTCACTTGTGAGTTCGTTGCAATTTAATAATTTACTCCACTTTAATATTGGGTTCTGTCCGCTAATAATGATCAAGTTCCAATAATTTACGTCTGTCGGATCACATTGGGTTTTATTTTTTTTCTCCAAGAAAACAATCTTTATTCTCATTCTTCTTGGACTACTCAGTTTCTCTGTTTACAGCACACTGTACTTCATCCCATTTATATATTTCCAAAGCGGTAAACAGCTCTCTCTTTTACTTTTATTTCCACAGGGCAAAAAAGAAAGCGGAAACTGCAAGCCAGACAGGAAGTGAAGCGGCAGCGTCCGGGAAATCTGCACGTCGGAGTAAACGCCAAACGAGCGCAAAGAAACGAAAGAAGAGAGAGAGAATTGAAATAAGAGAAAATGTATTGGAGAGAGAGAGAGCTGAAGTGAGAGATAAGATATTGGAGAGGGAATGTAATGGAGACGCTGTCCATCCTGGTTGTTCTTGTCATCAATCCAGATCTAGCGGAGACAACAGCGAGAAAATCCTGGAGTGTTGTGGTAGGTTGGAATTTAGATTTCGTTCACTAGATTTGGGGTTATTGTGGACTATTTTGTTCATTGCAAGGTCAATGAAATTCTTGTAGGACTTATCCATTTTTTAAAACACTAATTGAATCTTTATTTGCATCATTAGAAAAGACGTAAACTTTTGTAATTTTTTTTTACTCGTTAACAAGGTGTAAGCTAAACAAACTCACTTTCTCTTTTCTTTGAACTTTCACGAGTGATGAAAAGTTCAGTTGTACAGGCCGACAAGGTTCTGAACTCAACATTTTGATAGCAGGTATGCAGTCTCAGTTTGGATAAGTGCTGTCGTCTGTTACTGTTACTTGTATGCACAACAAACTTTGTAGCCGATAGGTACAAATGTTCATCAGTTCCTTGTTTTATGGTTTCAGTTGGTGGTTGGTGGGTGCTCTGATGTGGTCTTCTCCTTCTTTCCTATCAAACATCTATCATCCTTATCTCTTCTCCTTATTTGTGTGTGTTACTCTCTTGTAACACCTCTAATCTTGGGCGTTTGTATGACCTTATTGTGTTGCAAGTGCCGTAAAACTCCTACTAAAACCACAACTTATTGTTTCAGTGTTGAGAGTCGGGGTGAAGCATGAAGCTGTGGAGGCCCCTGTGAAGTGGAAGAAAAAGGAACCAATGACCAGCACAGAGAGAGCCCAACGTTACCGACAATGCAGGAAGGAAGACGCCACACGTCATGAAGCGTACCGACAGTTGGAACGTCAGCGGTCAAAGGACAGAAGGCTTACTATGAGTCGAGAACAGAGATTGCTGTCGAATGTAAAGGCTGTTGAACGCAATAGGAAAAGCAGGTAGGCCCTACGTTTGTTGTTTGTTTGTTTGTTTTTTGGGGGGTTTGTTTTTTGTATTGTTTTGTTTAGGGGGGTTTTGTCATCAGTATCTCAGCACAAAAATGTAAATGACCTTTATAATTAATTGGAATAATTTAACAATAGAAACAACGTGGAAAGGGGTCCTCCAGGGCTGAAATGTCAGTTTATTCTGATCACATAACGCACTTTTACTGGGGAAACATTTTTAAACTTGCATAAATCTACTCCAGCCTGATCATAATATAGTGCATTTTCATTTTTTGTCCGAAAAAAAAATATCATAAGGGTTGTGCCCGCGACAGAGCTCATACCCAACTTCCAATCTTTATTCTCGTTCTTCCTAGACTCCTCAGTCCTTCTTCATATGACCTATTGTAGTTGCGAGTGCTGTAAAACCATACCAGATTAATCAGTTCTGCTTTATTTGGCAGTCTTACGTCAAATGCTAACTGCTCTTTGTATTTTGTTCTTGATAGGGCAAAACGGAAAATGGAAACTGCAAGTCAAACAGCTCATAAAGGAACAGCATCCGAGGAATCTGTGCACATGAATGAACGCCAACAGCGTGCTGAGAAAGAAAGGGAGCGGGTTCCGAGAGGGAGAACTCAGGCAGACCAGGAGAGCCGAACACCCCAGAAA